CTTCCCGATCTCGGTGCTCACCCCCGTGGCAATGACAACGCCCACAGCCTTGCCAGCTGCCACGTTGGTGCCCTGCAGGGGAGGCAGCGAGGGGTTTTGGCAGGGGAGGAGAAGCACAGGCACCAACAACGAGTGTGCATGGAGACCCCGTGGAGCCCAGGACAGGGGACCGGGGCAAGGCTCTGTCTGTCCTGCAGGCTTGGGGGCACTGGTGACCCCCAGGGGCAGGTCTCTAGTCTGGGGGTGACCCTGGGCTGTAGCTTTTGGTTGTGGGGGTGCAGGGTGGGGGTGACCCCGGGGGTAGCTCTCTGGCTGGGTGCAGGGTGGGGATAACCGGGGGGTAGCTCTCTGGCTGGGTGCAGGGTGGGGGTGACTCCAGCTGGGGTGTAGGGTGGGGATAACACGAAGCAGGGGATTTTCTTAATGGTTTTCATGAACACTGAGTGCCTCAGTTTCCCTGCATGCTGCGTGTGTAACAGGGGGGTGGGTGAGGGGGTTTGTTGTTGCAGAAGACCAGGTGTGACCTCGCCTAGCGGCCTGGACCCCAAACAATGGCCTGGAGCTTGGGTACCCTAGCAACTGGTGACCATGAACCCTCCCGGCCCCCTAGCTTGGAAGTCAGCCAGTTCAGGCCACTGGGAGGACAATGGGCTGCGAAGAGAGGATCCCGGTGACCTGACCAGCCGGTTCCAGCCAGAGGGGAACAAAGGATGGAAGAGAGGGGGTCCCATGTGACCTGTTTGCCCAGGACCAACACAAAGGACGAGGAGGGGCCGAGGGGGGAGGTGATATAGGAGGCTCAGCTGGAAGGAGGGGGCTGCTGGACTTGGGGGAGAGAGAACAGCCAGAGTCCACCTGGATGGGGACAGACCCAGCTGGCCGGGGCTGAGACTGGCCAGGCCCGAGGGCCCTGAGAACTGCCTGGGGTAGGTTCAGACGCTCAATAAACCTCCTGTGTGATGCTGGCTGAGAGTCGCTGTAGGCTACAGAGTGGGGGGCATCACTCCCTCTGGGAGTGGAGGCCCCGGGGGTCCAGAGCGAGGGGACTCCCTGAGGGGGTCCATGGCAGAGACAGTCGTGCTGAAGGCTGAGAAAGGTACAGCTCCAGGAGGCGCCGGAGCCCAGGGCTTAACCCCTGAGACAGAGGGGACCCCCGAGAAGGGCTGTCACACTGAAGGGGGGTCCTCCCAGGGACCATATGGAGCCAAGAGAGCACAGGGCCTGGGAGTCCATGACAGAAGGTGACCTGGGGGGCAACTCTCTGGCTGGGAGGGCAGAGGGGCAGCCCTCAGCATGGGGGGAGTGATATTCAGGTCCTCGTGCAACACTCACCGAGAAGAGCATGTTCTTCTTGTCCTGGTTGACAGCGCGAGGGTCTGGGATAGGGTCCGTGTGCTTGATAACAGAGACAGACTCACCTGCAGGAGGAGCAGAGAGGGCTGAGCACATGGGACGAGGGCACCGGGAGTCCTGCCAGACAGACACCCAGACATCCCCACCACATGGACAGATGGGCACCCACAGACGCAAACGGGCCCAGACACACGGCCACACAGGGAGCAGAACAGGAACTTAGAGATGCCCTCCTCCCTCCACCCCCGCACGACCCACTCACCCACCAACCGACACACAGACACAGTCAGAGAGGCAAAGTCACCCAGAAAGACACCCCTACCCACACACAGTGACACATACACAAACACCTCCCAGACACCCCCCCCAGACCCACATAGACCAGCTACAGTGACTACAGTTACACCCCAGGGCTACAGACTCACAATCACAAGCTTGAATTTCTTTTGGCTGCCCTGCAGTTCTGTCCCTCCCAGCCCAGTTTTGCCGCCCTTAGGCTCCCAGCCCAGGTCTTTCCCACCCCAGACCAGCCCCCACCCCAGTTCTTTTCCCCTCAGCCCAGCTCTCCAGGCTGGTTCTGCCCCCCTCCTGCTCCCGCCAGGCCCTGTACCTGTCAGGATGGACTGGTCCACACGCAGGGTGGTGGATTTGATGGAGAGGAGCCGGATGTCGGCTGGCACCTTGTCACCCACTGCAGGGAGAGACACAGGACACACTGTGATGGATGGACAAGGGGGAAGGGGTGTCCCCACTACCAGAGTCTGGGGGGCAGACCCTGCACCCCACCCCCTCTCAACAGGGCTGCAGGGGACGCTCAGGGCAAAAGGGTGAGGGGGTTGTGTGACTTTGGGTTGAGAGTATTGGAGCAGCAGCCGGGGGGACACAGCCCCTGGGTGTCAGCAACACACAACACCAGGAGAATGCACAGCGGGAGGGAGCCAGACAGCCAGGGGTGTGGAGGAGGTTATACAGGGAGAGGAAATGCTGGATCTTCTCTCCCTGTCCACCCCTAGCTGGGGCACCAGCCCCTCTATTTCAGCCGGGGATCAGCCACCCCGGCAGTGTAACCCTAGCCGCCCCCCTGCGCTGGGACCCTTCCTGTCAGCTCAGTAAGTGTCTCCCTCCTCCCCCTCCCCGGTGCCCTCTATGTCCTGCCGCCCCTGTCCTCATAAACCTGGCTCATCACATTCCTGCCGCCCCGGCCGCTTGGCACTGCCCATAGAAGGAGCGCCTGGCGCCTCAGCCCCCCCCCCCCCTTTGCCCAGGGGGCTCTCAAGGAGATGGCGAGGTCAGGGCTCCCTGCTGGCTGGCTGGCACAGCTGGGGGGCACTAGGAAGGGGGATATAAGGTCATCCCCCCCAGCCTGCAGGGAGGGGCGGAGACGGGGTTGGTGCGGGGGATACAGGGTCTCTCCCCCCAGGCTGGGGGGGCAGTGGCATGATAGGAGCGTTGGCTGCAGCCCAGGCCCCGGAACACCTGTCACTGAACAAGTGCAGTGCAAAGGGGATTCCACGGGGCTCCGCTTTCAGCCGGGGCCAGGGACTGTCTGTTCCCAAACACCCGCCTCCCAACACAGGGAGAATGAGGCTGTGTCTGCCCCACGAGCTGGGGTCAGGGCAGGCCAGGGCCAGGCAGTAAACAAGGCCGAGAGCTGCTGAGAGGCCCTGCTTAGCCAGCCCCCACAGCCCCTGACACCCTCGCAGAGGGGAAGGGTGAGGAGCGTTCGGGATCCTCCAAGGGCATTGTGGGTAATCATGGCAACAGCATGATTCGGACGTCACCCCTGACCCTTCAACCTTCAGTGCACAGGGTGTGTTTAACTGTTGCCCTGAGGATGCCCCCTGCCCTTTACCCCATGGTGCCTTCGGCACCTTGAACCCCATGTGAACCCCATGTGCTCATGGACACACACTCACCAGCCACCTCGGCAATGTCGCCAGGGACCATGTCCCGGGCCTTGATTCTCTGCACAGATTTCCTGTCTGCACGGTACACCTTGCCCATCTCGGGTTCATACTCCTTCAGGGCCTCGATGGCGTTTTCAGCGTTCCTCTCCTGCCAGGGCAGCACAAACAGTCATGCCCACCTGCCCACAACCCCCCGGGATCTGGGTGTACTGAGACCCCCTCAACCAGCACTGACATATGGGTTGGGATGCAGGGGGCTGTTTATACAGCGATCCGTCGCTTGGTGTTGAGGTGCGGCCACCTCTGGGGTGGGGCACTGGGGCTGTTTACACAGGGGCCCATGGCCGGTGCCAAGATGCAGCCCCCTTCTGGGATGAGACACTGATGTCAGTGACCCCTTCTAAGTCGCCTGCTCTATCTCCTGGGTCACTTCAGCAGTCTCCCATCCAGGTACTGATCTGGCCTGACCCTGCTTAGCACACAGAGGGGGTGGTCGCTGGCCCCTGGTTACCTGCCAGACTCCTACAATGGCATTGGCGATGAGGATCAGGAGAATGACGAATGGCTCCACGAATGCAGTGACTGTCTCCTCGCCTTCCTCAAACCAGGCCAGCACCTATGAGGGGCAGAGCCACAGCAGGGTCATGCCTGTGTGACCTACAGCACAGCACAAGTCACCCTTCCCATCCCATGGCTGGAGAGCTACACCCCTTCCTTCCCCTCCTCCACAGAGCTACACAAACCCAGAGTGCTACACCTTTCCCATCCACATGGTCAGGGAGTTACAGCTCTCCGTTCCCCTCCTCCACAGAACTACACCATCCTAGCCACATACAGAGTGCTACACCCCTCTGACCTACATGGCCAGGAAGTTACAGCCCTCCCCCTCCCCGCCTCCACAGAGCTACACCCTCCCACACACACACCACACACCCTTGAATGCTACACCCCTTCCACCCACAGCCATAGCCCCAGAGCTTCACCATCACCCTCCCCCGCCCCCAGAGTTCTACACCCCTCCCACCCACATGACCAGAGAGCTACACTTCTTACTTCCCCTCCACCTCCACAGAGCTACACCCTTCTCACCCACATGGCCAGAGAGATACATCACCCCCCTGCATTATACTCTTCCACACGCACACACACAATTACACACTCACACAGTGCTGCACCCCTCCCCTCTCCTCCACAGAGCTACGCCCTCCCCCCACAGAGAGCTACACCCACTTAGACACACAGCCAGAGCGCTACACCCTTCACACCACATAGCAAAAGTGCTACACCCCTCCACAACTTTACACCCTCCCCCAGACACACACACAGTTCTACACCTTCTCTGTCTCTCACACCACACACACATAGTGCTACACCCCTCTCCTTCCCCCACCTAGCTACACACTCGCACACCTCCCACAGATGCCCAGAGCGCTACAGCTTCTTAGACACACTGCCAGAGCACTATAGCCCCTCCACTCCCCCAGAACTACATGTCTCTCTCTCACATACATCCCACACAGAACTCCACACACACACACACCCCATGAACACTACACCCCAGCCCATGCACTCGGCAGGGCCGGCTCCAGGCACCAGCTTACCAAGCAGGTGCTTGGGGCGGCCACTTCGGAGAGGGGCGGCACGTCCACTGTTCAGCGGCAATTCGGCGGACGGTCCCTCACTCCTGCTCGGAGCGAAGAACCTCCCGCCGAATTGCCACCACAGATTGCGATCACAGCTTTTTTTTTGTTTTGGCTGCTTGGGGCGGCCAAAACCCTGGAGCCAGCCCTAGCACTCGGAGCGTTATAGTCCTTCCCATTCGCACACACAGTGCACAACACCCTGCCTCATACTCCCTCAGGTAGCTACCTAGCTCCCAACACTCATTACTCTCTTGGGTATTTCTATTATAATGGAATCTTGCCCCAGGTGCTGCACAGACCTCAACTGAGATCAGGAGTCCCCTTAAGCCAGGGGTTTTCAAACTGGGGGTTGGGACCCCTCAGGGGGTCAAGAGGTTATTACATGGGGGGGTCATGAGCTGTCAGCTTCCACCCCAAACCCCGCTTTGCCTCCAGCATTTATAATGGTGTTAAATATATAAAAAAGTGGTTTTTAATTTATTAGGGGGGGGTCACACTCAGAGGCTTGTGATGTGAAAGGGGTCACCAGTACAAAAGTTTGAGAACCACTTCCTTAAGCCAAGTGCTACACAGACCCTGCCCAGGATCCGGGAGTGTATGGGGATGGATGGATAGATATATAGCTAGATAGCAGTAGGAATATACTACCTGACCCGGATGGTGATAGTGACTTTGAAATGCTCAGGGATATTAGAGAGGCTATAAAAATAAAAACCTCAATAATAATGGGGGATTTCAACTACCCCCATACTGGGTACATATCACCTCAGGACAGGATGCAGAGATAAAGCTTCTTGACACCTTAAATGACTACTTCTTAGAGCAGCTGGTCCTGGAACCCACAAGAGGAGAGGCAATTCTTGATTTAGTCCTAAGTGGAGCACAGGATCTGGTCCAAGAGGTGAATATAGCTGGACCGTTTGGTAATACTGATCATAATATAATGAAATTTAACATCCCGGTGGCAGGGAAAACACCACAGTGGCCCAACACTGTAGCATTTAATTTCAGAAGGGGAACTACACAAAAATGAGGAAGTTAATTAAATAGAAATTAAAAGGTCCAGTGCCAAAAGTGAAATCCCTGCAAGCTGCATGGAAACTTTTTAAAGACACCACAATAGAGGCTCAATTTAAATGTATATCCCAAATTAAAAAACATAGCAAGAGAACCCAAAAAAGAGCCACCGTAGCTAAACAACAAAGTAAAAGAAGCAGTGAGAGACAAAAAGGCATCCTTTAAAAATTGGAAGTTAAATCCTAGTGAGGAAAATAGAAAGGAGCATAAACTCTGGCAAGTGAAGTGTAAAAATATAGTTAGGAAGGCCAAAAAATAATGTGAAGAACAGCTAGCCAAAGATTCAAACAGTAAAAGCAAAAACATTTTTAAGTACATCAGAAGCAGGAAGCCTGCTAAACAACCAGTGGGGCCACGGGACAATCGAGATGCTAAAGGAGCACTCAAGGACGATAAGGACATTGCAGAGAAACTAAATGAATTCTTTGCATCGGTCTTCACGATTGAGGATCTGAATGAGATTCCTAAAACTGAGCCATTCTTTTTAGGTGACAGATCTGAGGAACTGTCCCAGAGTGAGATGTCATTAGAGGAGGTTTTGGAACAAATGGATAAACTAAACAGTAATAAGTCACCAGGAGCAGATGGTATCACCCAAGAGTTCTGAAGGAACTCAAATGAGAAATTGCAGAACTACTAACTGTGGTTTGTAACCTATGATTTAAATCAGCTTCTGTATCAGATGACTGGAGGATAGCTAATGTGACGCCAATTTTTAAAAAGGGCTCCAGAGGAAACCCCAGCAATCACAGGCCGGTAAGTCTGTCTTCAGTATTGGGCAAACTGGTTGAAACTGAAGTAAAGAACAAAATTGTCAGACACATAGATGAACATAATTTGTTGGGGAAAAGTCAACATGGTTTTTGTAAAGGGAAATCATACCTCACCAATCTACTAGAATTCTTTGAGGGGGTCAACAAGCATGCGGACAAGGGAGATCCAGTGGATATCGTGTACTTAGATTTTCAGAAAGCCTTTGACAAGGTCCCTAACCAAAGGCTTTTAAGCAAAGTGAGCAGTCATGGGATAAGAGGGAAGGTCCTCTCATGGACTGGTAACTGGTTAAAAGATAGGAAACAAAGGGAAGGAATAAATGGTCAGTTCTCAGAATGGAGAGAGGTAAATAGTGATGTCCCCCAGGGGTCTGTACTGGGACCAGTCCTATTTAACATATTAATAAATGATCTGGAAAAAGGGGTAAACAATGAGGTGGCAAAATTTGCAGATGATATAAAACTACTCAAGATAGTTCAGTCCCAGGCAGACTGCGAAGAGCTACAAAAGGATCTCACAAAACTGGGTGACTGGGCAACAAAATGGCATATGAAATTCAGAGTTGATAAATGCAAAGTAATGCACATTGGAAAATGTAATCCCAACTATACATATAAAATGATGGGGTCTAAATTAGCTGTTACCACTCAAGAAAGAGATCTTGGAGTCACTGTGGATAGTTCTCTGAAAACATCCACGCAATGTGCAGTGGCAGTCAAAAAAGTGAACAGAATGTTGGGAATCATTAAGAAAGGGATAGATAATAAGACAGAAAATATTATATTGCCTCTATATAAATCCATGGTACGCCCAGATCTTGAATACTGCATGCAGATGTGGTCGCCCCATCTCAAAAAAGATATATTGGAATTGGAAAAGGTTCAGAAAAGGGCAACAAAAATTATGAGGGGCATGGAACAGCTTCCGTATGAAGAAAGATTAATAATATTGGGACTTTTCAGCTTGGAAAAGAGATGACTGAGGGGAGATATGATTGAGGTCTATAAAATCATGACTGGTGTGG